GATTCGTCGATATATGCTATCTCTTTTTTGTCTCGGAAATTCAAATTTGATCACAATTGTTTCCTGTTAAAATATGTTTCAAATACCTACTTGAAAACACTTATTTGTATGCCTTAACAAAGAAAACGATCTTATGAACTTTGACAAAGTCAACGTGCACTTTTTCATGTCCTAGGAGATCCTCTGATACTGTTTCATAACTTTGTGTCTGTTGTAAATTTCAGTCTCGTACAACTGCGAAATAGTTTAAACTTTGGAATATAAAAGGTAAAATGGTTTTTTGCTTCCTTGAAAAAATAAGAAAACCTTGCAAAATCTGGAAAGGGTTTGATTGTCGAATAGTAGTCATTTTGAGGTATCGTATATTTGATATGGACTTTTTTCAACTGACTAGCAGTCCTTTGGTAATTGGCAATAGGATAAGAAGCACCATAATAATTGTTTCGTTCAAAGTTGCCAACGATCTTACTTTACCTCACTCTGGATAAAAGGATTCCAATAAATAACTTTCAATAGGCTTTTCGTAAATGAAAACTACATAAAGTTACATCCCATCCATTTATTCATACAGCTTTCTGTTTACTACTCGCATATTCTTATTCGTTTGAGAATGGACTGGTCCAAACATTTCACGAATTTCTTGTTCACTGGCTTTTACTCAGTTGACCAACATTGCCAATTGTTTATCAAATTTCATTGTCTTTTTTTTTCCATAGAGACTCCGAAATTCGTTGTTTCGACTACCTTTTCGTTTGACTCGAAAATATTCAGAGTGTTTTAAAAATTGCTAAGCTATTAGATACACATCCTATCATCAATGACTCAATTTTTGTTTCTTTTAAACTGAAAAACAAGGTGTCAAAACTATATCTCTCTAAACACACATACATAAATATATGTATATATATTAAAGCAATCAAGTATCATGTAACCAAAAAGGAGAGAGAGCAGGTTTACTTTGTAGCTCTTTGAAACTATCCAAGGAAACCAAGGTATAAAGAAAGGGAGAAAGCAGTAGACTTGACAGTCCATAATAAGAAGAAAAAGAAAACATTTCCCAAAGTGTGTACACTCAAGTTTATCAATTTTCTTCGACAACAAGGTCAGATGGAAACAGCTCTACGAACGAACGAACAAAACCTTGTCAACTTGAACTGGGAAGAGATTGTTCCAGATACCAAAAGAAATGACTTTGAGGGTACAAAGGTAGTTATTTTAAGAAGCACGAACAATTCATATAAAAAAGTGCAGTATATATAGATTGCAAGACACAAGACTAAAGAATTGTAGTACACTATCAATTCGTTGACTCATTACCCCTTCCTTTTTTCAGTAAATAGAAAGACGAAAGAGTATTTTTTATGATGATTGAGAAACGAACTGATAACTTTTTTTGTAGTATGAAAACTCAGATTGGAAAGAAGTTGGAAAAAACGATCTCACTCCTGCAGACTTTTACATCATGCCGATGTAAGAATGCACTTTAGACAAGTTGCTGATTTGTGAATCAAAGACAAGTTTTAACTATTGAAGAAGACATATACAAAGCAAGTGGCATAAATAGGAGTAACTTCATTGTGCATTCTCAAGTTGAATATGGCTTGGATAGTGTTGATAGAATGACATGGGTTGTTTGAACTACAGTACATTGTCTGTCCATTTTTCATAAGTCTTCTTTTTCATCAAGTTGTTTTATACCAGCACACGAAAACTATCCCATATGTAAGTGGAGTTATTCATATCCTAGACTTTGTTTCATATAGTATTTATATATCGTCGATAGTCTCTTTAATAGCAAATGCAAAATGATCATATGGATTTATTAAAAGAATTTACCCAAATAGGTTTGACAAACAAAATATTAACTAGTACTAGTAGTCATTTATCCTAACGCATAAAGGATAACCTAGTTTATAGTTTGCTTGGCAAGAATCATAATGAGAGAAAATCCCCACATTCTCTTTTCATAGCTGCAGATAGCTTTTACTATATAACAAGTCGTTGACCACAACTCATTGGAGTGCATTCTTTTTACAAATAACTAAACGTTGGATTATATTGCTATTCTATTCGATAAGAAGAGAATTTTGATTTTGTTATTGGGTCTGATTCTGTATAATATGATGAGTACCAGTATACAATACACACTTTTTAGTGATTTTTTCTGGTAATAGGAAAGATGAGCAATTTGAAAAGAGAGGCCGATTGAAAATGGGCCCGCGCAATTTTGATTTGAAAATTGCCATTCTGGGTGTGGGGTGGGAAAGAATAGGTAAATTGGAAATGGGAGAGAGTGGGGAAATTGCCAAGGGGAAAATGGGTGGGGAAAGGGGCCAATTTGGGCCAACCCCAAGGTGATCGTGATTTGAAAATTGCCATTGTGGCGGGCTGGGAAAGAATGGGTAATTGGAAATGGGAGGGGAAATTGCGATGGGGGAAAATGGGTGGGGAAAGGGGTTTGAGGAAATTGGAGAAGAGGGCCAATCCAAAGGCGATTGTGTTGATTTGGAAATTGCCATTATGGATACAGGGAAGAATGGGTAAATTAGAAATGGGGACATTTGAAATTGAGGACAGTGTGCGAAGAGGACTGAATGTAAATTGAAAATCTTGGGAGAATCCGTACAGGAAGGGTGTTTGAAAAATTCCAATTCGAAAAACAAAAGATTGAAATTTGAACTACAGTTCTATTCTATGAGATAATAGTAGTAGAAAGTTTAATTACATGCTGTTCACATAATGTTTCCATGCTTTCATAATACATTTTTACTCTAAAATAATCTTCTTATAAAATTTCTAAAGAAAATATAATAACAATTTAATATAATTGATTGAAACAATGAAAGCATTATTAAAAAATTTAATCATTGACTTAATTTTTAACTGTTACAATGAAATGTTCAAAGTAAATATTATATAAACACAAAAAACTCAACAAAACAAAAAAAGAATTAATTTCAAAAAGACTATATTAATACAGTATCCACTAAATTGACAAAAGCGAATAATTTTTAGTTTAATTTCAAAATACTTACTAAAAATATACACAACAAAAATAAAAACGATCAGCAAAATTTGATAGCAACCTTGACAAAAAAATATAAACACGCAATAAACGTAAAGATTGTTCTTCAAAAATTAATAACTTTAACAGTGAATATCAGTCTATCAGAGAAACGAGTGCATAGTCGTGGAATGTATAAAAAAAGTTTTTTACTCAAAGAAATAGACATATCTAAAGTGATTAAGTAAAATGGCGCAAAAAAATAATAAACGAACTTAAAAAAGACAAAGAATTGCATCTGGTAAATTGCCATTTGATGAGAGAATATGTGTGGGTGAATGAAATGGTCGATTGCGGGTAAAGGATGGTAGTGCAACTTTGTTTTAAAAATTGTCATGGAGTGTGTGGATGGGGGGAAAGAAGGGGCCAATTGGAAGTGGAAGAGGGTTGGGAGCAATTGTGAATTGGAAATTGCCATGGGGGAAAATGAGTGGGGGGAAGGATTGGGGCCAATTGAGAAGAGAGAGGGCAACTCGAAATGTGGATGGGCAATTGTGATTTGGAAAATGCCGGGGGAAAAATGAGTTGGAGAAGGATTGGGGCCAAATTGGAGAGGGGTCAATTCGAATAGGCAATTGTGATTTTGAAATTGCCATGGGGGGAAAATGAGTGGGAGGAAGGATTGGGGCCAATTGGTAAGAAAGGGGGCCAACCCAGAGGCGGATTGTGATTTTGCAATTGCCATTATTGTTGGTGGGTGGGGAAGGATGGGTAAATTGGAAATGAAAAGGGGCGTTGGAAACTGTAAGGGCAGTGTCAGTGTCTGAAAAGGACAGGGTGGTTTGAATTGAGGAATTTGGGAAAATACAAGAAAGGTGTTCGAGGAGTTTAAGTTCCAAAAGTAGAAGATTTCAAGTTGACCTTGATTCATATTTTAGGACATTTAAATAGTAGTAAACTTGACGACATACTGTCCACGCAATGTTTCTATGTTTTTATCATACAACCTCAGTCAAACAT